AGATATATATTTTGAGATATATATATATATATATATATATATATATATATGGTCTAAATTATATATATATATATATCACAATCTATTTTATAAGTGTGTGATATTAATATACAAGCATACTATATATATATATAAATATATATATATATATATATATATATATATATATATATATATATATATATACAAACATCATTGAAGATATATGCCCATTTTGCATTAATGACTTTCTTTAATGAGCACTCAACAAGTCTGAATTTATTAATCGGATGATGTAAATAAAACGTAAATAAGTTAGTTGAATGTGAAAAGAAGACATGTGTGGAAAGAGTATGGAAAATTGTCAAAATTAATTATTAAGTTTATAATGATATATAAGAAATTTTAATAAACGAATCCGTAAATGAAACAACTAAATTAGATTAAAATGGAATATAGACTATTTATGAAAAAATATAATGGAATAAGATAAAATAAATGAAATAAAATGAAAAAATAAAATAAAAATAAAACAAGTAATTGTAATGTATCACAGCTAATATGGATGTTAAGATGCACTGTCGAATAACGAAACCAGCGATACGGAAACATTAGTCCTATGACGAGTGGTAACATGTTCACCATTAAACAGTATCGCTTCTTTTGGCATTGGCTCGTATTCGAAGTGGCGCAACATTGGTGGTTCTATGATATTGGTATGAACGGCACGTTGTGGACTATCATGTCTATACTGGGAGTAAAGATGTAGGCTATGATCAAATGTGTTAAATTGTTTATTCATAGCGGGTTTATTCTTGTAGATGTATAAAGCTTCTTTAATTTTGAGGCGAACTGGGTGCGATTCACGTTCAAGTATTTTCGTGTTAACATCAAGTAATGCTCTGGTTAGTGGCAAACCGTGAGATTTGAGCATATGATCTTTAATGGCACCGTTCTGTACGTGCATCGTAAGCCTTCTGGCCAGAGTAGTACGCGTATGCCCAACATAATTTTCCACAACACTGTGTGGCATAGGACAATTGAAGCTGTACACCACGCTACTCTGTTCCAAAATACTTGTAGAATGTCTATTACTATTTTTTATTATTAAGTTAGAAGTCCGGTTAGTTTTATAATATATGATGAGTTTAAGTTTATGTTCACCATTACACATGGAGATATTAGATTTTATAATATTTTTAAGTTGAAATTCGTCTATTTTGTAGTTGTCATGCATTTGATTAAGGTAAAAGATCGGTATTATTGTTTTTGTTGAAGCCGATGGTAGCAAAGGAACAGATGTTGAGTCACTGATTTTATTCAAGTATTTGCGAATAATGGTATCTATTAACTTGTTCGGGTAATTATTGTTTATTAAGAATTGTTTGATTCTAACTAATTCACTATGAAAAATAGTATTATTGGATGAAATTTTATAAGCCCTGTGCACAAAATTATAAACTACGTTATATTTATATTTTTCAGGGCAATCTGAGTTGTAATTAAGCACCTGACCTGAGTTGGTTGGCTTAACATAGACCTTTGAAATTAATTGTTTCTCGTGTTGCATGATAAGACAATCCAAAAACGCAATTTCATTTTCTTTGCTGAACTCGATAGTAAATTTTAGATGGGAATTGTTTTGGAAGACATTCCGCAAACAGTACACATCAGAAACCGTTTTGCAAATGACGAATATATCATCAACATATCGTGCATATATCAACGGCTTGTTATCTGGGTCTTTAAATATGCGAGTTTCAAGATCTGACATATAAAACTCAGCAAAAAGTGGGCCAAGAGGAGATCCCATCGCCACACCATCCACCTGCAGATAAAGTAAACCATCGGGAGCAGTGAACGGACTCTGAACAGTGCACAATCGCAAAATATCTTTGAGTAAATCTGGATGTATATCAAGCTGAGGTAGTGTGGGATGGTTGTAAACATGTGAACATATGATGTCGATAGTATGTTCGATTGGAACATTTGTGAATAGGCTCTCGACGTCGAGAGAAGCCATATGTCCATCACACTGTTTATTGCCATTTATGATATCAATAAACTCATAACTAGAATTAACAGAAAATGTGCGTGGAATATACGGTTGTAACAGTTTATTGATTGTTTTTGCCAATTGATATGTAGGCGTGGGGCACTGTGAAATGATAGGACGCAAAGGGTTATTCAACTTGTGTGTTTTCACGTTACCATAAATATATCCAGGAGCGTAATCACCTACGATAGGCGTAAGTTTGTTGATAGTTGAGGCCAAATTAACTTGTGCAATCAACTTATTGGCCGATGTTTTTATATCGCTAGTAGGATCTTTTGTAATGCGTTCAAACTTAGTAGTGTCAGCCAGGATATTATTAATTTGCTGAAGGTAATCTGTTTTATTTAGTATCACATACATATTAGATTTATCTGATTTACGTATCGTTAGATCAATGTTGGAACGGAGACGTTTAGCCGCGTTGAGTAATTCCCTCGAAAGAACAGGTTTGCGATATCCATTTCGATGTCGATGAGATTCAGCCTGCAGTTGACTGTGTAAGCCATGTTCAAAGTCAATAATCCGTTGCTTTTTCAATCTCTGAAGTTGATTGTATAGCATCTCCAGCTCTACTTCCTTGTGTATATTGCTATACTTGTGTCTAAAATGCATATTCAAACCTAAATTCAAAAAGGAAACTTCATCGTCGGCTAGGGTATGATTAGAAAGATTAACGTATGATTGGATAGTGTTGTCAGGGAGAATAATGCTACCTTTAAACAAATATTGCAGCTTTTTTAAGATTATTTCACGTTTAGTTGAGTTATAAGAGTCATATTTTTGTTGTGTGTAAGCTTTGAAGTTGTTAAAATCAATCTGTCTATCTTTTTCAATATCGTCAAGGATACTTTTATACTGTTGAGTGGCACAGGATTCTTTCTCTCGCGCTTGGTCAAGTTGTTGCTAATAAATTCAGACTTGTTGAGTGCTCATTAAAGAAAGTCATTAATGCAAAATGGGCATATATCTTCAATGATGTTTGTATTAAAGAAAACCTCGTTCCGAAATATATATATATATATATATATATATATATATATATATATTGTGGGTTCAGACTGTCTTATATTCCGTTATATACAATTTTTTTATTGATATTATTCAATTTATTCATATTAATAAAAAAATTTATAATTATTTTAGACTGCATTTTTCATATATACATTTACATAAAAGCTTTTTTCGGTAACCTTTACCATCATCAGTTTTGTTATGAGTAGTTCATCTGGTACCTATTTATAGTATTTTTAACAAAGGAACTCTAAGTTCCATTGTTTTTTTGTGTAATTTCTTTGTTGGTAGGATCGTTACAGCCTATTGTTAGCAGGGTCGTTACAGCCTATTGTTGGCTGTTTATTACAGGGTTTCTATTTTCTATTAATAAAGCCTCTGCCATTCTCAATTTGCTTATATTATGGTTGTAAAATAACAATTTGATATTTGAGTTTAATATTTTATTTGTTATTTTTATTTGATGCTTTGAATAAATCGTAAATTGTAACCACCACCACAACAAAAAAGTATCAACAACTATCACACATTTTTGTAAACATTGAAAAAGAAATTTGATCGAGTTCTCCGTGAAGCAATCAGGTGGAGTTACGTCGACAACTCATTCCAGAATATCTTGTTCGACTTGTGATGGAAATTTATACAAATACTAAAACTCTCGTCAGCACAACAGTTGGAAACACAAATGCATTTGACATTGGCGTTGAAGTTCACCAAGGCTCGATTCTCAGTTCACTGTTATTTATAACTGTGATGAAAGAAATCACAAAGCCGACATGGTGACATTTGGAATCTAATATATGCTGATGATATTGTCTTAACAGCCACGTCTGAGCAGAATGAAGCACAGATGTTTGGAGATTGGAACACCAGACTGGCCAATCATGGATTCAAAGTCAACATCAGCAAAACCAAAGCAATGAACACTGGTGAACCCATCCAATCCACAACTACTGGACGATGGCCCTGTTCAGTTTGTAAAGCTGGTGTAGGTAACAATTCAATCAAGTGTCAGCAGTGTAACCAGTGGTGTCACAAACGTTGTTCAAAAATAATTGGTAATTTATCTAGAGTGTTCAATTTTGTTTGTCCTGCTTGCATCAATCCACAACAACAAATTCGAAATAGCACTGTTTTTGAAGCCATTAAAATAGAGAAAGTCACATCGTTTCAATATCTAGGAGATGTTCTGGATTGTACTGGAACAGCTGAAGCTGCCGTTCGAGCACGCATACGTGCAGCCTGGAATAAATGGCATCTCCTTGCCTCTATATTGATGCGGCGTGATATCCCACTACCACTACGATCAAGACTTTATAAATCTGTGATACGTCCGGTGTTGTTATATGGTGCAGAAACATGGCTAATGACAACCAAACTGGAACAACAACTTCAACGAACTGACATGAAAATGCTTCGATGGATGCAACGAATTAGTCTGAAGGACCACATCAAATCTACCGAAATCCTGCGTCGTGCTGGTTTAGATGATATAAAGGACGAATGCCGGCAACACCGTCTGCGGTGGTTTGGTCATGTCAAACGAAGTGGAAACAGTGCCATAACTTCTCTTGCAGATGTTGAAGTACCTGGCACACGTTCCAAAAGCCGTCCAAAGAAGTTCTGGTCGCAAACAATTGAGCAAGACATGAAAGCTTTAAATTTAAATGAAATGGATACAACTGATCGTCTAATTTGGCGCAAAAAGTTGATGGCAAAGAAAACAACGTCCTACCTCGGGGAACCGGGTCTCTGGACGCAAAACGAAGATTGATTGATATTGCTGTCGATTTATTATTTGTTTTTCTTAAAGTACGGCCTGATTTATGGAGTATGTTAAGGAAGGTTTCAAATCGGTGTAAAGATTTATTAGTTACCCGATTTTTAATATTATTAAATTTATTAAACAACTGCTTTACAATTGAGGTGCATTTTTTGAAACCGTATCACTTCACCTAGGATCAGTTAGGTTTGTAATATCAAGATGATATTATATATGATATTACAGTTCATGAAAGCTCTAAATTTAAATGAAATGGATACAACTGATCATCTAATTTGGCGCAAAAAGTTGATGGCAAAGAAAACAACGTCCCACCTCGAGAAACCGGGTCTCTGGACGCAAAACGAAAATTGATTGATTGCATAAAAGTTAAAAATTGATGTATTATTAGTGCACCACTGCAACTTTCAAACACGTTAGCTCACATTTCATCTTATGCTTAGTTGATTTTTTGCACAGTGTCCGATTGTCGGAGATTTTTGCCGGGGTCGGAATTTTTCATCCGACACTTACTCCGAAAAATGTTATTAATTTAAAAAAATGTTTTTTTTTCTGAAAATTTTTTTTAAATTTTGTTTTTTAAAAGATAAATATGTGTAGCGATAAGCAATCGTCTTTAATACTGAAAATAAATGCTAATAATTTGAATAAAATCACATAATTTTTTCCAGTATATTTGAAAACATTTAAATAAAGTAATTTTAATAAGAAAAACAATTACATTGACTGATTTTAAGTGTTTTTTAAAGTAATTTTTATTCAGTAGTGATAGTAAAGTGAAGTTATGATGCAAAAGTTGAAATTTTTTCTGGGAGTCGGAACCGAGAGTCGGAATCGTAAATTTTTACCCGCAGTCGGGGCCAGAATGTAAGTTGGATATTTTTCATCCGACTCTGACACTCTGGTTTTTTGCCATTGATGAAATTAAATTGATGCTTTAATTAAAAATTTGATTGTGTATTTTCTTATAATTTCTTTCCTCAGGATTTGCCTAACAACATGATACATCAAGTAGCCATAAAATCACTGCCTCAAGAATGGTTGTGGTGCGTAACTTGGTGCAGCAATGAAGAAAAATCAAAAGCCAAAACGATTGACCTGGTCAATGGCAAGCTTTCCTTTTTTATATTTGTTTATATTTCTTCATTTGCCATATTTGCCATTAAAGTTAAGCCTTATAAGCTACCTGTTGGTATCCTATTTATTATCAATTCAGCCAAGCACCACCAAAAAAATGATTTGAGTCGCTTTATCGTTTTGAGTTTTTGTTAGAATATTATGATGAAATATTTATCCATGAAGCAGGAAGCAGCCGAAATTGTCATTAGGTCACCATTGGAGCGCCGTGTCTTGCGCTGATAATGCGCGGTGGCATGGTTAGATACTTTCTGTCTAAAACTCAAAGACCATCATACGCGTATGATGCGGTACTTGCGCTTGCATGCATTGCATAATGTCTATGTGTGTCGTGTCGTGTGAATAGTGTACAGCCTTTGTGGCACGAAAGTTTAATTATTAGTGTGGGCAACATGTAAGCAGCTCTGCGTTTGACAGCTGCATTATAAAGAATAATTTAAGACCATTTAATGCCTAACTAATGAACAATACTTGACTATGAGTTTGCAAAATTTTTATATCAGTCTACAGCCAGCGCCTGATATTGATGGTGAAGCATAAAACTTTTTAAAATAAAATTGACACCAAAGATTTTGATAGTAATATTTATCGTGCTCGTATGCAATTTCAGTGCAATAATCCTAAGACAAAAGAACCAAAACTAGAAGCAGCCATGAGAATCGTTGATGAATGGAAGAGTTACGATGAAATTAAAAGGTTGTGGGACTCTGTTTATTCGCAAAATGAAACAGATTCAGAGCAAAAACACGAAGGTTAAATTTTAAATAAATTATATTTATTTATTTAATAGTGACTGAATAACTTAAAATATTTTTGTAGGTCATGTTGAATTGTGATAGAAGAAATGTTAAACATCTCTTTTAAATTTATATATTTGTTATAGAATGGTGTAATTAATTGATAGTGTCTAATAAATTTTTACTCGACGTAATAATGTCCTTTGTGATACAATAAAAGTGTTGTCTTCGTTTTATCCATTTGAAAACTTGTAAACACTTGCTGGAAATTGAGTTGACGTACGTTTGGATGAAAAGCTGTATCATCTACACGTGTAACTCGCTCCAAATTGCACGCTACATTTTTTACCTTGTTTTTCACATTTGTTTTGAAGGTGGCAAAAGTTTCGTAACTTAGAATTCGTAAAATTAAAAGCCTCAATTCTTTTCTGCGATACTCAGCTGTACCGGCGTGTCATTGATATCTCATGTGATGTAACATCACTTTCCAGTAAAGAAGCTGTTCAAACCTCCAAACCTATAACTTGTGAGTCATAAGTTGTAAACCTGGGGAACTAACTCCTGGCCTCTAATTTTACTTGGCTTTCCAAAGACCTAGTTCTTTCTGGTCAATGTGCATTGTTCTTTTTTATTTTCAATAGTAGTTAGATTTAAAGTTTCTTGACATAGGTAACATAATGTGACAGTCTAACATTTATGTATAACAAAATTCATTCATGTTATTTATCTACCTGCTAGACCTAGATTCTTGCCGATATATTACAATTGCAAACCATTTTAAATAATCGTTAACTAAGTGACCCTATAATAGTCTTTGATAAAATTAAGATATTTTAAAACATTGCTCAAACTTCGGTAACATTTTAAATTCAATCAATATTCATAAATGGTGTTTCAAAAGTTCTGGCATTTGACAAGCATATTTTCTTGAAATCACAAATACAACAGTTCAGTGATTTAGTTTAAAGTGTATTTTGACGCGTTGACCCGATATGAATAAAATGATTTTGTTAGAGGACCATTTAAATCATCAATTTTCACTTAGAATTCAGCTGTTAGTCTATTGTAGCACTTAATTTATTCATCTGTGTCCACTAGTGTCTTTTTTATTTAATTCTCTGTGTGATTACACTACAAGTGGATTACATAAGTATATAATTGTTTCCATATAAACATTTTCCAAACGGCGAGTGCATTTAAACCATTATTCCATTGAAAAGTTGTAACCATCGCCAACGAGAAAAGTTTAATTAAAAAGTAAAAATAAATCCGAATCACATTGTCTTCGAATTAATTATCGGGACATTACATTGCCTCCTACAGTATCAAACTATGGCTTATAAAATTATTGTTTTTATAATAGCAGTTTTGATAAACTTTGACTGCTTAAAAAGGTATGGATTCAATCACAAATATATATATATATATGTGTGTATATATTTAAATACGTTGGAAGGAGACCATATTGTATAAATATATATATATATATATATATATATATATATATACATCGTGAAAAATTAGCACAGTATGAAAATTTAATCTTAATTTATTGTTTAATAGATGATGTTGAGTTTATTTATCTGTAGAGTATTTTGTTACTGATTGTACGTTTTTCTTTTATTCTGGTACCATTTGTTTGAATAAAGTCAATTGCGTTAACGTACTGAGGGCTAAAAATATCCAAAAAAATATTCTGTCGGTGAATTTGGCCAAAATCCTCCATTCTATTTCTATCACATCTTGATCAGCAGGATTCTGAACCTGTGTTTTGTCATTTGTTTCAACGTTTCCAACTGAACAGTTCACGGAAGTGCAATTAAACGTTTTCATAATAGCAATTTTGATAAACTTTGACTGCTTAAAAAGGTATGGATTCAATCACAAATATATATATATATATATGTATATATATATATATGTATATATTTAAATACGTTGGAAGGAGACCATATTGTATAAATATATATATATATATATATATATATATATATATATATATATATATATATATTAGGGTGGTTCAAAAAAAATTAATTTTTTTTTAATATTTAAGTGCACACCCCCTATATTTTTTCCTTAGCTGAAAGTTGGCATGTGTGCAAAATTTCATTCAATTCTGACAATATTTAGAGGTTGCTCAATGACATTCAGTTTTTCACCATATTTAGCATATAAGCGAATATTGGTCAGTGCTACAATTTTGTGTTTAATGTTTATTTTGCAGTAAAATGAACAACATTCTTGTGAAAATCATGTAAGATTTAACAGTTCTACAAATTTATACTCAAAATAACAAAATATTCAACACTAAACAAACAGTTCTCACAAGGTAAAGGCAACTTGATTATGCCAAACGAAAGTTCAGTACTGTTAATCTTTGATTGAGAAACTGAAATTAACTTAAGGCAATTAATGTACTCAGTTTATGTTTTTCTGTTAATCACTCATAGTATGTCAGACTCAAAACATAACAGCAGCTGCTTCAGCACTGGCTAATGTGCGCTTAGAGGAGTCCGGAATACGTGTTCGATTGTCCTCCACCACCTGTATCAGTTTTTGCAGTTCTGTTTCATTTTTGGTTATAAACTGGTTAAAATTTGTCATGAGTGCCACAGTGCGTTCTGCAGTGTCATTAACGACCTTAAGTGACTTCACAACATTTGCCACTTTTTGAAATAAAGGAAGATCATTCCATGAGTCTGGTTCAGTTTCACGCAAGATAGCAACATCCATTCCAAGTGATAACAATGCAGTACGAGATGTACCTGATACCAGATCATGCAGTGGTTTGCTTTTCACCTGTTCCAGTTCAGTTGCAGGATATTTGACACCTCGCACACTCCAGTCAGAATCTACTGCAGTCCTTGCTTCCACAATCAACTGCTTCTCAGCATTTGCAACTTTATTTGAGAACAATGACAGCCAAACCATTTCTGTACCGAGATACCACAGATGATTCTTCAACTTTTTTGTGGCAGCACTTGCTACATTCTTGTTGATTTCAGAGTATTGTTCAATTCTGCTCAGAATTGAACAATACTCTGAACAACAGAAATCAAGTTTTTGTTCTTTTTTATTAGCTTGTAGTCATCAACTACCGACTTTACTTTTTCTACAACATGAGTATGGTAGGTTGTTGGTATTCTAGCCTTGTTTCACATGTCCATGACCTTATCTGACGACAATTTTGCACTTTCAGGCACAGTTTTCTTTTCTACTTGATGATAATAAAAAAACATTCTCAGGACATCACCTGTTGTAGGCAATACATTTACTGGAAGTTCACTTTGTAACTGTCCAATCAGCCATATGTTAGTCATGCTGCGTGTTGTAAGAGCACCACAGTTTGAATTAGAAGCCATTTTGAGTATTTTGTTACTGGTTGTACGTTTTTCTTTTATTCTGGTACCATTTGTTTGAATAAAGTCAATTGCGTTAACGTACTGAGGGCTAAAAATATCCAAAAAAATATTCTGTCGGTGAATTTGGCCAAAATCCTCCATTCTATTTCTATCACATCTTGATCAGCAGGATTCTGAACCTGTGTTTTGTCATTTGTTTCAACGTTTCCAATTGAACAGTTCACGGAAGTGCAATTAAACGTTTTCATGCTCCTTTTTGATTCAGTTGTTGCACCAAGGTTTGTACTTTTCGTGAAAATTTTTGTCCAATTCAACTTATTTGTTTGGCGCATTTCATAATTGCAAGTTAGTCTATCGACAAAAGGATACATATTGTTGCGCCCATATGATTCCATGTTTTTTATTCTCATAGAAGGATCTAGGGAGCAACGAGGAGTTGCGTTGTCAGCCCACGTGGGTCTGATTGGTATTGTCGTGGCACCAATCCTCTGAGGTACGTCATTTGCTTTTTCAGTGCTTGCAACATTCTTATTGTCGCAAACAATCGAGCAAGACATAAAGCTCTAAATTTAAATGAAATGTATACAACTGATTCTAATTTGGCGAAAAAAATTGATGGCAAAGAAAACAACGTCCTATCTCGGGAGAACTGGGTTTCTGGACGCTAAGCGATGATTGATCGATTGATTATTATTTGGTGTAGATCCATTAGATGATTTTTTATTGCACCATTTTGTGTGTGCATAGTTAACCTTCTTGATAAAGTCGTATTAGTAAATCCAATATATATTCTGTTTTTGGTGCCTACAATCACCGATTTTACAACCAAAACAATATACTAGATGTAGATGACTGCTATTCGTTATCAATTCTGGTTTAGTCGTTTTGACATTTTTATAAATGATTTGTTTTAAGACAGATTCGTTCATTTTTTAGTTTGTGCTCATATGATTACTACAATAGAAAATGATGTCAGTGTTTAGATTATTGTGTTGTGGGCTGTTAAGTTGTTGTAATTTATTCTTAATTATTTTTTTATCATTGCTGTGCAGTATCCATTGTTTACCACAAGATTCGTAATTCTTTTCGATCCCGCATCACGTTTTTCGGTTGATGATGAGTGGGTGAAGGCGCGGTTGACGAATGCTTTATATATATATATATATATATATATATATATATATATATATATATATATATATATATATATATATTATATATGTTGGTAATAGACCATAATTTTCACAATATGTAATAGACCATAATTTTTACAATATTGTATATATTATATATATATTTATATATTTCATACATAAATATATTTTCGCACACTGTGCAAAATATTTAATGACTCTTTAAGATCAGGAGATATACCAAGAGATTGGAGGAACGCTATCGTCACGCCATTGTTCAAAAAAGAACGTAGAAGCGAAACTTGTAACTACAGACCAGTTAATTTAACTTGCATTATATGTAAAGTATTAGAAAAAATTGTGAAGAGAAATATAGTCGAGCACTTAAATTCTAATTGCATAATCAATGACAGCCAACATGGTTTTATGAAAGGACGATCCTGTCTATCTAATCTATTGGATTTGTTTGAAGATGTTTATGTTAACTTAGAGGATAACTCGGTAGACGGAATATATTTAGATTTTGCAAAAACATTCGATAAGGTGCCACATAAATGGTTATCGAAAAAATTACAGGAATGTGGGGTATGTGACATTTGTATCTTTATACATTTAGTATCTTCTGAACGTTCATTAAATAAACGGAGACATCATAACGCACACTTGTGTTGAACTGAATTTATATTAAATAAAACATAAAACATTACATGGCGCAGTCGACAGGAAAGATTGTTGATTGTTGTTGACGTCTTCAGGAAAGATTGTTGAGAGAACCGGAATTGTCTCTCACATAGGCACGTCAGTTATGCAGAGCTGCTGAGGTTACTCGAGAACAATTAAAAACCATAAAAAGTAACGAGTTACCAGCAACAATAAACTCTGTGAGGTCTGGCAAGAATAAAGACCAAAATAATGACAAAATGAACAAACATGGCTGTGGACGATGCGGCACAATTCATCTTATGAAACAATGCCCAACGTTTGGAAAACAATGTTACAGATGTTTAAAACAAAACCATTCTGGAAAGATGTGTAAAGCCCCCAACTTGCCAAACAAAGGAAGAAATAAAAGTTTTAAAAAATCTACAGACAACCATTCACGTTCAGCATCGCCATCATCTAGATCATCAATTCATGCAGTTGCGGAAGATATAAACAACTTCGTCATTGGTGAATTAGCCATACATAGTTGCACTGCGAATCAAGAAAATTGTTGGTGGAAAGAACTATATCTAAATGGCATAAAAGTCAGATGCAAATTGGACACATATGCTGAAGTCAACGTCATGTCAAAAACAGTTTTTGAACAACTTCCTAAAAGATCAAAGCTAACAAAGACCAACACAGTTCTTAAACCTTGCGCCAGTGGAAAACTTTAGCTTTTGGGATCAGCAGTTGTTGAAACAATAATTGAGGGTAAGAAAACGTTTCTAGAATTTTATATCATTAATAGCAATGTCCCAACACTGATAGGACTGCCATCATGCAGCAAACTAAATTTCCTACACAGAGTTGATACCATAAAACCAGTGTAGAAAAAAGAACATCAGCACAGTTACTTAATGAATTTTCTGATGTGTTTAAAGGACTTGATTGTCTCCCTGGAGAGCATCACATTACAGTAGACCCATCAGTACAACCAGTGATACATCCGCCAAGACGAGTACCACTAGCGTTACAGCCAAAACTCAAGCAGAAATTAGATAGTTTGTTAAAAAATGGAATAATAGAAAATAAAGATGAACCAAAAGATTAGGTAAACAGCTTGCTTATTGTCGAAAAAAAGATGGATCATTAAGATTATACCTCGATCCTAGAAATCTCAACAAGGCAAAAAAAGAGAACATTTTGTAATACCAACTTGTGAAGATATAATGCCAAAACTTCATGGAAAAAAGTTGTTCACCATTGTCGATGAAAGATGGTTTTTGGCAGATCAAATTAGACACTGAAAGTACTCACCCTTTGAAAGATTCTCATTTCGTAGACTTCCATTTGGATCATCAGCTCCCGAAGTGTTTCAGAAGAGAAGTTTTGAAATTTTTGGAGACATTGATGGTGTTCTCATAGTATTTGATGACCTAATCATTGCAGCAAACAAAACATGACCAGATACTCAGAAAAGTACTTGAAAGGGCTAAAAAATTCAATGTTCGCTTCAATAGTAAGAAACTACAAATTAAAATTTTTAGTGTTAAATACCTAGATCATAGAATCTCAGAGGAAGGTGTGGCTCCTGATTACAACAAAGTCAACGCTATTCTAGCCTTGTCGACACCACATGATAAAAAGAGTCTTCAGCGTTTTCTAGGAATGGTCACATACATGTCTAAGTTTATATCACCTTTCTCTACACTTACTGATCCTCTGCGACAGTTGTTGAAACAAAATAGTGAATGGATGTGGAGCAACCAACATACCAAAGCTTTTGAGCAACTAAAGAAATCTATTGCAACAACTCCTGTTTTAAAATGTTTTGATGCTAAGACGCAAGCATGCATCCAAACAGATGCTTCTTCAACAAGAATCTGGTTAGTACCGTTACAAAATAAACAACATATAGCTTTTGCATCTCTAGCGTTGAGTGAAACTGAAAAAAATATGCTCAGATAGAAAAAGAACTCTTGGCAGTTGTATTTGCGTGCAAAAACACTTGTGTATACTGACCACAATTTACTTGAAAATATATTATTAAAGTCTCTGAACCAAACTTCACTAAAATTACAACGAATGTTGTTAAGATTATTAAAGTTTAACATAGAATTGAAATACATGCCTGAAAGCAAGATGTTCATAGCTGATGCACTTTTAAGGGCCTTTCATAAGCACAGTGATGCAGCAGACTTGAAAATGCAGGAAGACATTGAAGTCATGGTACATACCATACTCAATGATTTTCCAGGTAGCATTAACAAGCTTGAGCAATTTAGAATGGAAACACACAAAGATTTATATCTTTCGACACTAAAGTTGTGGATAAGAGATGGTTTCCCTGTGAATATGAAAAAATTACCCATAGAGTTTAAACTCTTTCAGAAAATTGCATTTTACATTTATGAGCTTGATGGACTTTTATTTTATAAAAGAAAACTCATAGTACCAAAATCTTTGAGAAAAGAAATGTTACTTTTGTTACATGAAGGTCATCTTGGAATAGACAAAACAAAAACTATGGCACGCTCTTGTTTATACTGGCCTGGTTTGTCTCGTGAAATTGAGAAAATGGTTGAAAGATGTTCAGTTTGCAATTCACACAGCAAAAAACAACAATCAGAGCCATTGCTTCCACATGAAATCCCTCTAAGACCTTGGGCTAAAATTGGAGTTGACATTTTTTAGTTTGCAGATAAAGATTACCTCCTGGTTGTAGACTATTTTTCAAAGTTTTTAGAAATTGCTCTATTAGGAACAAAAACATCAGATTCAGTCATATTACAACTGTAGCAATATTTGCTAGGCATGGAATACCTGAAGAAATGATAGCAGACAACATGCCATTTTCTAGCAACCAAATGCACAGATTTGCAAATGATTGGCACTTTAAGATAAAAACATCCAGATAATTACCATATCCTAAGGTAAATGAACAAGCAGAACAAATGATTCAGAGAGTAAAAAATTTTCTTAAAATAGCCTATGACAGCAATACAGATCCATACATTGCACTTTTACAGTACAGAAATGCTCCATTATCAGGTCTTGATTTTAGTCCAGCGCAGCTATTGATGAGTCGTTTCTTAAGAATCAAGCTTCCAACAACAAGTCAGAACTTACATCCAAAAGTCGTAGATGCAAGAGATAATCTAGTTTACAGACAGCAACAACAACAAAAGTATTATGATCGTAAATCGAAACCTCTTTCAAGTTTGAACAAAGGAGATGTAGTACGTATGAATTACAATGAAACATGGAAACGTGGAATTGTTCGTTTTAAACATCAAGCTTCAAGATCATACATTGTTGACACAGAGGATGGTTCAACTTTAACACGGAACCGAAGAGATCTCATCTACACCACAAAGGTTGGAATCCCCAATTCACCCTCAGTGCATCAGTCAAACAGATGACACCACACAGTCTCCCAAGAATCCATCCTGAGGACACGGAGTAGTCGTTCATCAAAACTCCTTGTTAGATTCAAGGACTATGTTTTTAATTAAATATGTGTATTAAATAAAAACAATAAAATTGAACTTTTAATAGGGGAAATGTGACATTTGTATCTTTATATATTTAGTATTATCTGGACGTTCATTAAATAAACGGAGACATGTAACGCACACTTGTGTTGAACTGAATTTATATTAAATAAAACATATAAAACATCACAGGGTAGAAAGAATTCTGCTACAGTGGATAAAAAATTGGTAGGTCATTCCAAACCGTCGGATCCGCAACTGCAATATCTCTCGCACTTATTCGTAGATGCCTAGCTGGAACCGCCAAAAAATTCATATTATCTGATTTCGGATTATAACATGATGCAGATGCCTTCGTGGAAAATTTATCTGAGATGTAAGCCGGTGACATTCTATTCAAGGATTTGAACACAGTCATTGCAATTTTAAAAATTATTCTTTTTTAAATCTTTAACCGTGAAGTTCATTCAATATTGGCCTTACATGATCAAATTTCAATCTTCCGGTTACAAGTTTGCAGCCCTATTTTGAACCGACTAAAGAATGTCAATTGATCTATCCGGCAAGTTATAAAACAGACTGTTGCAGTAGTCTAGCCGTGATGATATAAACGCATGGACTAGATTTTCCAATGCTGATCTATCTAGCAAATGTCCAACTCTGTAAAAATTTCTTAGATGAGTAATGCTGGAAACTGAAATCATCTTGATGTTGTCTTTCATGGACAGTCTATCATCCAGCAACACTCCCAAATTAGAAGCTGTTTTACTGAAAGATATATTTACATCTCCTACTTTGATTGAAGTGATATTCATCCTTGATAACGGTTGCCATGTCCCGACCGGGAGGAACTGAATCTTACGTTGGTTTAGTTTTAATGAATTTTCTGACATCCAACGGCCAACATCTGACATACATCTGCTGAATCTGTTCACCTCGTTTGCAAATGAATCTGGAGAACTGGTGATCAGCACCTGAATGTCAGCATGACAAACGAATCAGTGGAAACTAATTATTTTTATTATATCCGCTGTATAAAGCAGAAACAGGATGGGTCCCAGCACAGATCCTTGAGGCCCCCCCCGATGAGACCAATGATACATTTGACACTGTGTTTTTTAATGCAACCCGTTGTGTACGATTCTTAAGATATGACATGAACCAGTCATTGGCAACTCCAAGAATACCATAACTGCACTGCAATCTCTTTAAAAGTATTTCATGATCCACACAATCGAATGCTGATGACATACCAAGGAATGATATTATCAATAATATGTTTTGAACTTCAGTTGCAGCAAACAAACTTGATAAAACATACAACAAAGTTGTTTCAGTGGAATGGAACTGACGATATCCAGACTGATATTTTGGCATAAGATTATTATTAGTCAAGTGGTTTAGTAGAAACTTCATGACAACACGCTCCATTACTTTTGAGACAAATGGCAAATTAGAAATTGGTCTGTAGTTTCCAATCTCCCCATCATCACAGCCTACTTTTTTCAGAATCGGAATAACTGTGGCGTGCTTGAAATAGTCTGACACTATGCCTTTCCGCAAGCAATGATTTATGAAACTTGTTAAAAAAACTTTAGAAATACTTTAAATACTTTTTAAAAATGTGTGTTGGCATGATATCGAGTAAACACGTTTTAGACGGAGAATCAAGTATAATCTTCACGAGATCATTCTCAGTGATTTCAAGAAATGATTCAAACACAACTTTTGGTGATTGTCTATCTTTTGATAAAAAAGTCGAAATACCAGATGACTTAACAGAATGAATAATTTTTGCAGCCTTATCTGTAAACAATTTCATAAAATCACTAGTTGTGTGACTGACATTTGCACCCAATAAATTCTCACTTCGATTATTGCATAGAATTTTATTAATAATTCGCCACTTGTCCCTTTGGCTGCTACAAGTTCTGATCAAATTGTTCCAATACCCAGAGCGTTTATCTGATAATTTATATTTTACTTTCAATGAACCAACCCAACTTTCACGGTGCACACTTGACAAAGTTCTTCTGTACAGTCTCTCAAGCTTTCTGCAATATCGTTTGGCCCGTAAGCAATCATTATCAAACCATGATACACTGCTATAAAATCTCTTGTAAATCATAATCATTCGCAGAGGCACACATCGGTCAACAATGCTTTTTAATTCGTTATTGAACAATTTTAATTCATTTTTAACATTTTCACTTTTGCATGGACCAGATATTGGAGAATTTGCAATTGTTTGAATAATCTTATTTTCATTCGCATTTCATTCGCATATATATATATATATATATATATATATATATATATATATATATATATATATATATATATATATATATTTGCATATTTCATTATATATACACATATATATATATCCATTGAGAGCACCATTAAACAAAGACTACAACAAAACAGCAATATATTCAAGAACAACAGTGACAGTGACATAATCCTATATTACAGAAATCATATGTCAACGGCACATGAAATAGACGATATCGACCTCAAGCAAATCATAAAAAGAAATGCTACACCAATCAATTATACTATTAATATTAAAACTCAGAAAATACTACAATAACTGTTAAGACATCACAACTGCACTCTTTAAGACGATTCTACTTTGAAGCGTAGTCACGTAATATATAAATTAAAATGCCCTATTGACGACTGTGCGCGTCAACAATATTCGTATACGGGTGTTACGACCACTAAACGATCCAGACATATTACAATACATACACAAAGAGGAGCCATCAAATCTCACTTGCAACCAACTCCAATAACCCGCCAAATTCTTGACAACAATACAAAAATAATTTATCAAAACACCAACACAATACATCTAAAAATTGCAAGAGCTGTCCTAATAGATATCAATAAACTCTAAATGAACATACAACAAAGAATGATAGCATCATTACGAACTCGACGCCTTAATATTAGTATGAAATTGAAGAATGAAGAACAACAAAGATGAAGAATACAATACCAACTATTAAACTTTGCTAAAGAACTTTGCTTTGTTTAAAGAAACTATATAAACCAAACATGCACTGAAGATGATTTATGAAAAATCGAAATAAGGCCTTATCTGCATGATTAATTTAATTTCATTACAACAGTTTCATTAAATTTTTATGATGAACTTTGATAATTCTAAAATTGTAAAGACAAACGTTAAATTGATTAATTTTATTTTGTTTTATTTATTACTTATTTACGAAAAAGTAAATACTTTGTGGTAATAACTAAAATTAACTATTTGAACAGAAATTGATTGTACAAAATAAATTGAATAAAATATCTCAATGATGATCACTCACGAACAATTCAATCAAAGAAAACAACTATTGACATATGAAAAGTTTACCGTAAAAAGTTCACTATATGTTCATACTCACTCATACACATTCATATCCACTCATACATATTCATATCCACTCATACACATCGGTAAAGGTTTAAGAGTATGTCTCTATTAACTTTATGCTTAATTTTATGTAGCATTCTAATAATCTTATTTGTCTTTAGTGATATAGTGTTAATATGATGATCCCATGACAAGTCATCCCAAATAGCGCACCAAGAAATTTAGTTTCAGTTGAACGTGGAATTATATTGCCATTTAGGGTTATTTTCAGGTCGCTAATGCAATTTGTAACTATTTTTGGGCCAAATATTATATGAGTGCATTCAGAATAATTAATTACTAGGCTATTTATAGAAAACCAATTGGTGATGCAGTTAAGGTTGTTATTTATCATTGCTAAGTCTTCATATGGATTCTTTGTATAAAAAATAAATGGTCGTATCATCTGCAAAAAGCAAAAATTTGGCGGTAGTGGTAATCTTGCAAAGATTGTTGATGAATATCGTAAAGAGCAATAGCTCTAAAATCGATCCCTGCGGGACACCGGTAATAATACCGAGTGCCACTCCTCTAACGCCATATAGTTCCAGCTTTTTTAAAAGTTTATTATGGTTGATAGGATCAAATGCCTTTGATAGATCGATGAAGTTAACGACCGTTAAAAATTTTTCACTCAAATTTTGCCTCACTCTTTGCGCAAACTTTAAAATCGCAAGTTCAGTCGAATGGTTGGCTCAAAAGTCATAGTGCCTGTCATGAATGAGAAATTGAGAAATGAAGTTAATCTAGTAAACATAACTCGTTCCAGAATCTTAGACAGAGATGAGAGGAGAAAGATGGGTCGATAATTTGATACATCAGCCTTTTTTATAAATTGGTATGACCCTGGAGGTTTAGAAACATTCCGGGAAATTCCCCTGAGACAAAGAAAGATTGCTCATGTGTGTGAATGGAACGGCTATTTCATTAATTATATGTTTAATTAAGTAATTGCTTAATTGATCGTGAGAAATGCTTTTCTTATATTTTATATTTGTAGCTAATTTTATTACTTCAAATTCTTCAACCGGTTTTAAATATAAAGAATTGCATAAAGTTTTTATAAAGTTATAGTCGAGATTATTTTGTGTAGCATTAATATTATTTTATTACAGTGATTTGGTAATGTTTATGTAATAGTTATTAAAAATATTGCTAATTTCATTTTTGTTTTCAATTAATAAATCATTGCTTCTAATTTTGTGTATATTTAATGAGTCTTTTTTGCATTTAGTATGTTTTTTATTACACTCCACTGCTTTTTAATATCACTTTTGCACCCCAGAAGCTTGTTGTTATAAAAAAATTTTCAACACATCTTTTGTAATTGGTAACATTATTTCTGAACTTTTTATATGTCGTTAAATTTTCTTGAGTTGGATTAACAATATATTTCTTAAACAATTAGTTTTGTTGTTTTGACTCAATTAAGATTTCTTTGGTGATCCATGGCTTTTTAATTTTACACTAAAAAGCTTGGAGAGGAGTAATTGTGTCTAAGGCATTATTGATGTTATCATACAATAAGGAGCAGGCAGTATCTATATTATTTTCACTGGTAACATGCAACTTTGACTCGAACGATAAAAATCACTCTCCAAATCTCCTCCGGAAATAAGCTCCAGGTTCGATCGTTAAAAGTGAGCAAAGGCCCTTATATTTATTCTAGTTATGTGTTGCCTTCTATGTTTTTTTGCCTTTATTTAACGAAAAACCCCATTCACGTAGGAACGTATATTTGGGCCATATGTCTGGGTTTTTAAATTTATAAACTTCTTTTATTGGCAAAATCATCTTAAATGCTGTTGATTCCGTTTTCATGTCAACTGCTGGACCATCTGGATTTTTTTCCCGGAAAATTGGAAAGCAGTGGCTAAATGCTATATTGTTATTTCTGTACAACTGATTAACCTGATTTAACTTTGGAGAAGTCTTAGATTTTCTTTGTTTTTTATTTACCACAGATTGAAAGTCGTCATTGACGTCATCATGTGATTCATTTTGCGAAATCAAACTTAGCTGCCCACGGTTTAACGTATGTAACATCAGCTATAGTATCTGTTAATTTATATACATATATGTGTGTATCAAATCTTATATATATATATATATATATATATATATATATATATATATTAGGAAGAAGACCAAGTTCTATACAGTTGTTCAAAAAATCCACCGACGATTCAGCATTAACAAGTTTTATGGTTGATTTTCTAATATTTTGAACTAGTTCTTTACAATTAAGTCTATTCAAAATGTTGAAATCCATTTTATAATCGTTTATGATTTTAATTGTTAAAATTAATCAAGCAAGATCCCATTTTTATAATCGTTTATTTTTTATATTATTATTAAAGTTATGCATATAGATCTATTTCGACGTAGAGTCATCATCAGTGCAATATATATTTTAAAAAAATTCG